ACCTAGCACTCAACAATGTAGAATTTACATGTATATTAAGACTCATAAATGACAGAGATAATATGATTAAAAGACAAGGGCTTTAGAACATCTATTGTAAATATGCTCAGTGACGTATAGGAAATCACTTAAATAATAAGTGGAAGAAAAAAAAAATAACCAAATGGACCTGTAGAGCTAAAAAATTTAATGTGGCCCCAGCCTGTTTGGCTCAGTGTGTAGAGCGTCAGCCTGTGGACTGAAGAGTCCCGTGTTTGATCCTGGTCAAGGGCACATGCCTGGGTTGTGGGCTTGATCCCCAGTAGGGAGCGTGCAGGAGGCAGTCAATCAATGATTCCCTCTCATCATTGATGTTTCTATATTTCTCTCCCTCTCCCTTCCTCTCTGAAATTAATAAAAAATCTATTAAAAAAATTTAATGTGAAATGAAAATTTTGCCAGATTAATAGCAGATTAGACTCTACAGAAGAACAGGTCAGTAAACTTGCAAGCATAGTAATGGATATGATCCACACTAAAGCACAGAAAGAAGGAAAAATCCAGGTTGGGACAGCCCCGGTGAGGCTGAAACGGATAATAAAGACCAATATAAACTGATGAACAAAAATAGATGCAGAAGCAGAGCAGCATTGAACAGACTGTCAAACTACAGTGGGAAGCCTGGGGAGGGTTTGGGAGGGGGTGTGGTTAAGAGATCAACCAAAGGACTTGTATGCGTGCATATAAGAATAACCAATGGACACAAAACACTGGGGGGTAGGGCAGGCCGGGGGAAAGTCAAGGGGGGTGGAAAGGGGGACATATGTAATACTCTTTGTAATACTTTAAGAAATAAAAACTATTAAAAAAACAAAAAACAAAAAAGAAGGAAAAATCCCACTAGATCCACTCTGTCCTGTGGGAAAATATTAAGCAGTATGTGTAACTATTTGTATGTGTAATTGTATGATTGAAGTCTCAGAAGGGAGAGGGTCAGGAAAGAAATATATTTGAGGAGATACTGGCCAAAGTTCTTTCAAATTTAATGACAACTATAAACTCACAGATACTCAAAAAATCACAAGCAGAATAAACATAAATAAAACCAAACTCAGCGGGAGGAGGTGGTAGGCTAGAAAGGGTCAATGTGGAGAAAAAGGGCACATCTGTATTATTTTCAACAATAAAGATAAATTTTAAAAAAGAAAGAACAGAAAACCAAATCCAGACACATCAACACCAAATTGCTGAAAACCAGTGGTAAAGAAAAAATTGTTTAAAACTTCAGAAGGCTGGGTTGATACATCTAGGTTGATGACATTTGCTCTATTATTCTGCAAGAAATAGTTTGTTGTTCACTCACTGACAGGGACATTTGGGTTTCTGCTTTTTGGTGATTATTAATAAAGCTGCTATAAGCATTCTCATACAGATAAAAAAAAAATCCAGAGAATAACAATACACTAAAAATAGAAGAACAAAGGTTAGAATTGCCACAGATTTCTTGTCAGAAACAAAATAAGCTAGAAGACATCAGAACATCTTTAAAGCCTAAGGACAAAAATGCCGTCAGTCTAGACGTCTATATCTAGTGAAAATATTCTTCAACAAACAAACAAACAAACAAAAAACACAAGCATTTTCAAATACTAAAGCTGAGAAAATTTGTTTCCTGCAGATATGCACTTTAAGAAATATTAGGGAATCTTCTTCAGGCAGAAGGAAAGTGATACCAGATGGAAACTTGGATGTACACATAGGAATGAAGACCACTGGAAAAAGGAAACAGAAAAGAATTTTTCTTATTTAAAAATTTTTTAAAAGGTAATTGTTTAAAAGCAAAACAAACCTTGTATTGTGGAGTTTATAACACATCTAGATGTAAAAAGTAGGACAGAAATAGCATGAAGATTTGGAGAGGAGAAAACAAAACCCAGCATTTCCTTGACTCTTTGGCAAGCTGATTGGCTATATGACTGTGTTCTGGTCTGTGCGTTGAGCAGAAGTGGCACATGCAATTCTCCGGAGATAGAAAGAGAGAAGGCATGTCTTTTATCTCTTCCTTCTTCCTGCCTGGAATTCTGACTGGAGCTCCAGAAACTTGGACAAAAGAGTGACCTTTGGATAGTGAACAATGACTTTTCCTTCCTTGGATAATGAAAGAGCAACAAGATCTAAGGAGCCTGGTTCCCCAACACCATGGATTGCCAGATCAAACCTGGATGGGGCCTTCTGGGTATTTTTCAGTGAGAAAATAATTTATCTTGTTAAGTTACTGTTATTTGGAGGTTTTCTTCAACCCAGAGCTGAATGCAGTTCTAACTAATATGGTTAACTATTTAAAAGAGTAATGAATGCAATTGGTAAATCTCTGACAAGATGATCTAAAAAAAAAAAAAAAAAAAGAGAAAGCTCTGGCCAGGTGGCTCAGTTGGTTAGGGTGTTGTCCCGATACAACCAACCAACTGAGCCACACTGGCCAGGGCTGGCTCTGACATTCTAAAGGCCTAGGTTGTGTCTTTTGCTTTGTTATTGTTCTATCCTGGCATGGGAGAAAGAAAGGGTACACGTGTATAATTTCATAGCAATCAACCATTAGGAAGGGCAGACATAACTTCTGTTCCAAGCAGGAAGCCTGTTAATAAAGAAGAGAGAAGCCCCTGGAACTAAATGACTCCATTTTGCTCCCAGGAAGCAAGCCCTGGCCATTTTCTCATTCACTGGCAGGTGAAGTCTGCTCAGGCTTACTAACCAAGGTCGGCTTTTAGAGCTTCTGGTGGGGCTGCCATGCATTTGGCACCAGGCTGTGAGCAGGGCTCCTGAGTGAAAACAGCTCCCCCTGCCCGCCTTTCAGAGCCTCTGTCTGCACAGCGCTGTTCTTTCCAAGGGCCCCTGTCTCAGGATCACCTGAGACTCAGAAATTCACCAGGAATCCCTTTGCAGCATTGCGCATTCCAGATCCCTACGTAGAGCGGCCACACCCAGATTCCACATAAGAGCCGCAGCAGACCAGCTCTTTCTGTACATGCTCTCCACCTGCCTGAGTGTTCTTGCCTCATCATGGCTGAGCCATGTGTCTGCGTGTGTGAGTGACATCGTTGGTCCCATATGAGAGGTAAGATTCTTCTTTCTTTTTAAAAAAATACATTTTATTGATTTTTTACAGAGAGGAAGTGAGAGGGATAGAGAGTTAGAAACATTGACGAGAGAGAAACATCAATCAGCTGCCTTCTGCAACCAAGGTACATGCCCTTGACCGGAATCGAACCTGGGACCTTTCAGTCCGCAGGCCGATGCTCTATCCACTGAGCCAAATCGGTTAGGGCAGATTCTTCTTTCTTAAAAAAAAATCATTGATTTTTGGAGAGAGAGAAAAAGGGGGGGGGAGAGAGAGAGAGAGAAAGAGAGGGGGGAGAGAGAGAGGGGGTAGGGGGAGAGAGCGAGAGAGAGAAAGACTTGTTGTTCCACTCATTTATGTATTCATTGCTTGATTTTTGTATGTGCCCTGACCGGGATTAGAACCCACAGCCTTGCTGTATTGGGACGATGCTCTAATCAACTGAGCTACCCAGCCAGGGCCAAAGTAGGTTTCTTCATCCCAAGCACATTTCTGCAACCAGCCTGGTTCCACATTTGGAAGTAGACACAATGGTGGGAGTCTGCCAGTGTGCTTTGTGCAGTGCCTCTTCTGCAAGAGCAGCTCCAGACACCCACACTTCACCTCACAAATCTTCCAAAGGCTTCTGAGCCTCCTCTCCACATGACCACCTGCCTGACCTTAATTGCCTCATATTCCCTCTGCACTGCAGCCCAGCTAGCCTGCTGGACCTCCCCGGCACAACCCACCCCCTAGCCTAGGGCCTCTGACTGGGACGTGTGTCCTTGTGGGTCCTAGCCATAGTCTGATGCCCCCTCTGTGTTAGAGTTCTCCAGGGAAACAGAACTAATAGGATGTGTATATAGTAGATAGATGGGTAGATGGACCTAGATCTATCATCTAGCTATATCGATCTACCTAGCATCTATCCACAGAGATTTATTTTAAGGAATTGGCACATATAATCATCGGGGCTGGCAGGGCAGGTGGCGGGTTGGAGATCCAGGGAAGAACTGATGTTGATATTGATTTCAGAGAGAGGGCAGGAGAGGGAGAGAGATAGAAACTTCAATGATGAGAGAGAATCATTGATTGGCTGCCTCCTGCATGACCCTTATTGGGGATTGAGCCCACAACCTAGGCATCTGCCCTGACCGGGAATAGAGCCATGATCTCCTGGTTCATGTGTTGACGCTCAACCACTGAGCCACACTGGCTGGGCCAAAAGATATCTTTTAATCAAATACAGTTAACCCTTTAAATAGTGCTGGGCTCACCCTTTTCAGTCCTGCTTGGGGTGAGGTTCTGTGGCTTTCTCTGACCCTTAAGCCTGTGCCCTTTCTTTGTCTCCTTGACTCCCACAGAGCCCTCCACCCCTTTTCCTGACATGCTGATTGTTCTCTTCTACTGATGGCATTCATTTGGGATGATGGAAAAAGTCATGGGTGTGTGAGTCAGGTCCGGGTTCTAGTGTAGACAGCTCCTTTCCTTGTAAGTGATATTGAAAAGGTCACTTTAGTCTACTCCTTGTGAAATGGTGCTGTGTGCCCACCTCTTTTTAAAAATTCTATTATTTTTATTGGGGTGACATTGGTTAATTAAATTACATAGATTTCAAGTGTATAATTCTACAACACATCATCTGTATATTGTACTACAGGGGTCCTCAAACTTTTTAAACAGGGGGCCAGTTCACTGTCCCTCAGACTGTTGGAGGGCCGGACTGTAGTTTAAAAAAAAACTATGAACAAATTCCTATGCACACAGTGGCGGCAAAAACACGCGGCTGGCCGGATAAATGTTTTCGGCGGGCCGCGTGTGGCCCGCGGGCCGTAGTTTGAGGACCCCTGTTGTACTGTATGTTCACCACCCAAAGTCAAGCCTCCTTCTGTCACCCTTTATCCTCCCTTTACCCTCTTCTAAAAAAAATATGGAATGCTTCATGAATTCGCATGTCGTCTTTGTCCAGAGGCTGTGCTAATCTCTTTATCGTTCCAATTTTAGTGCATGTGCTGCCAAAGCAAGCACATGTGCTCATCTCTTACCACATGTGAAGTACCCGGCACAGAGTGGGCGCTTCATTTACTTGACTTGTTTTTCTCTCCAAGACCAGGTGCTACCTCCTCCCCTCACATTGGCCCCTCTCCCCAGCTGGGAACGTGGATTGGAAGATTCCATATTGGTGCGTTAGTGAGGATTCTCCTGAGAAACAGAACCAATGGGATGTATATTTATATAGAGAGGTGTGGGGCCTGGAAAGTCTGAAATCTACAGGCGAAGCTGGCAGACTGGAAATTCCAGCAAGAGTTGATATTACAGTCAAGTCTGAGGGCATTCTGAGGTAGAATTCCTTCCTACTCATGGGAACCTCAATCTTTTCGACTTATTGGATGAGGCTCACCATATTATGGAGGGTAATCTGTTTTACTAAAGTCTACTGACTTCAATGTTAATCACATCTAAAAATACTTCACAGCAACATCCAGACTGATGCTTGACCAAAATAAGTACCATAGCCTGGCCAAGCTGACACATAAAATGAAATTTCACACCTGCCTTCAAGGTTCACCTTTGATGTTGATGGCTTACAATGGCTGGCACTAGTGAGTGTTTACTGCAGACCAGGTACTGTGCTAAGTGCTTTCTTTGACTTGTTTGTTTTAATCCTCATAATAGCTACATGAAACGGTTTCTATTTTGAATCTCAGTTTATAGAGAAGAGAGCTTAAGTTGAGAGAAGTTAAGTAACTAGCCCAAGGCTGCACAGCAAGCTGTGGAGCTGGGGTTTGAAGCCAGGCAGTCCCAATGCAGAGTCCGCTGGTGTAGCCTCACACATGCTGCTGCCTCTTCTAGAATCTTAAAGAGACTGCCTCCTTCCCTGGGCCCTATTGGGGCTTGCAGGTCTCCGAGGCATTTTCTGTCTTCTGCCCCTGTCTTATCTCCATACCTGCTTGTTGGGAGCAGGTAGAGGGTTTGTTGAATAACTGAAGTCCAGAATTGTATGTGGTCCAGTGTCTCTGACTTCTACCTTGTGCCAATGAAGAAGGAGACCGGCCAGATTTCTGCCATGTCCCTATCCTAGCAGCCAGGGCACTCCTGCATGGCCACCTTTCCTGGCTGGGCACTGCCGGGACCACACCTCCTGCAAATGGCACTGTGACCACAGGACTCAGCTGATAAGGAGTCAGGAGGAAGCCCAGCTCTGGGCTCTGGAGTCAAATGAGGTTAGTCCCTTGTAGGGCATGGTGGCCTGCCTGCAGCAGATGCACTTAACACAACTTCCGCCTTCTTGGAATACTTGAGCGGCCCAGGAATGTGATTTTAGGCTGTCCTGGCACCACTGCCTTGACCCTTTAGGATTAATGTTCTTTCCCAACCTCCCTGAATCTCAGGAACCACTGACTTTGCCTGCCCGGCTCAGTGCTGTGCTCACTCACTGCCCTGGGAACCAGCAGGCTGGCCCTGTTTCCTGATTCCTGGATGATGGGCTTCCTGGCCTTGGCCCCGTTACCTGCCTGCTCAAGGCCTGTCCTGTCCTAGGTTGTTGCAGGAGCAGTAACCACCACACACCTGTCCCCACTGATGAACAGGTTGACACTCTAGGCCTAAACCTGCCTCCTTTCTCTAGCAGTGGTTCTCAACCTTCTGGCCCTTTAAATACAGTTCCTCATGTTGTGACCCAACCATAAAATTATTTTTGTTGCTACTTCATAACTGTAATGTTGCTACTGTTATGAATCATAATGTAAATATCTGACATGCATGATGGTCTCTTAGGCGACCCCTGTGAAAGGGTCGTTCGACCGCCAAAGGGGTTGCGACCCACAGGTTGAGAACCGCTGCTCTAGTGGGTTGAATAGTGTCTCCTCAAGAGATATTCTAACTCCTGATCCCTGGTACCTGTGAATGTGACCTTATGTGGAAAAGGGGTCTTTGTAGACATGATTAACCTAATATCTTGAGATGAGAACATCCTGGATTGCCTGGGTGGGCCCTAAATCTAATGACAGCTGTCCTTATAAGAACCAGGCAGCCCGGCTGGTGTGGCTCAGTGAGCATTGACCTATGAACCAGGATGAACCAGGAGGCCATGGTTCAATTCCCTGTTAGGGCACATGCCCGGGTTGTGGGCTTGATCCCCAGTGGGGGGCGTGCAGGAGGCAGCTGATCAATGATTCTCACTCAACATTGATGTTTCTAACTATCTCTCCCTCTCCCCTCCTCTCTGAAATAGATAAAAATATATTTAAAAAAAGAGAAGAGAATAAGGCAGAGGGAGATTAGAGATCCTGAGATAGAGGAGGCCATGTGAGGATGGAGGCAGAGATTGAAGCCATGCAGGCCCCCAGCTAAGGACTGCCAGGAGCCCCCAGAAGCTGTAAGAGACAAGGAAGGATCCTCTCCTAGAGCCTTCAGAGGGAGCAGGCCCTGCTGACACCTTGACCTTGGACTTCTGGCCTCTAGAACTGTGAGACAATAAATTTCTGTTGTCTTAAGCCACAAAATTTGTGATAATTTTTACAGCGCAACAGCAAAGTAACACATCCCCTAATTATGGGTGTGGAATCCAGGATGCAAGACCGGCCCTACCTTGGATTGAGAGCCTGGCTCTGGCCAGCCCGTGGCCTGGCTGTGCAGCCCCTTGTATGTACCAGGAACCCAGTGCCAATGAGGGAGGGACTGGATGGAACAGGAGTAAATTGAGTGCAGCTGAGTTAAAAGGTGGCATTCAGGGACTCACCTGAGTTCAAATATTCCCTATAGTATTTGTTAGCTCAACTTTGGTTTCCTCAGAAGATAGAGGCCATAGTGGGAGTTATTACTATCGGGGTGGGACAGAGAGAATAACAGGCCGGGAAACCAGGGATTCTAGAGCGCTTCTGCCATGGACTGGCTCTGTGACCTCCGATGCCTGCCTCTGTGTGAGGAGACCAGTGTGGCCTGTCCCCGCTCTTCACAGCACTGTCGGGAGAATTAAAGGAAGGAGTATAGGTATAAGACTCTTGCAAACTGTAAAGTATTTCACAAACTCAAGGTATTTGTATTACGATTTATAGGGTGATTATCTGTCCCAATGCATTTATACTGCCGCATGCATTTGAATGTGCCTTTGTGTAACTCAATGGGGGTGGGAGGAGGTGGTTTCCAAGCTACTTAACTCAAAGGGAATCATGATTGTCACCCCAGGTGACTTCTGATAGCACAAGCCCTCACTGAACTTCCATGTGAGGCCAGTGAGGCTTTTCGAGAGCTTTTGCTGAGTTTGTATGGATACATTCTGATTTGTGCTGTGTCTGGTGGAAGATCTGTGCACATCACAGATGGAGAGGAAACCCTCCAGATCTGGCAGCAGCCTGAGTTGGATGGTTGGAGAAGGCTGTTATATCTGTCCCGTGTCTGGCACCTTTATGCTTCCTGGGGGTGGAGGAGAAGAGACCCAGGACTCTCCAGTGACTCCCCTCCAGTTCTTGGCATTGTGAGAACGTATTATCTTCCTCTGTATATGATTATGCACCCAGGGCCTAGTGCACAGTGCCTGGCACATGGTCCCCAATCTCAGGGTTTATGGAATGACTCATGCTCTAACCTGGAGATGAAGGAAACTCTGGCAGTTTATAGGTTTCAACAGCTGGGAATGTAGCCCAACTACTTCCAGAAAACATACAAGAGAGAGGGTGTGGGGTGTATCATTACCTGTGTCTAAAAATCTGATGACTAATTAATATGTAAATGCTAAGTCACTACAAATGACAGGTGGACTGAAATGATTTGGGGAGGGGAGTTAAACTGTAGACAGGCCATCTCTCATATTACTGAGGAAAACCATGAAATGGGGCGTTCAGGGTTGCATTAAGTGGGGAAATGAAAACCATTAGAGCTGTCTCCAAGGACTTCCTGTCCAGCTCAGTCGGGAAGTAGAAGACAGTGGGATACATGAAGGACCACCACAAGGCTTACAAAGGGTGGTGCTGGGGCCATGGGGAGTGTTGTGGCTGTAGGAGTCTGATCCGGTTTTGAATCTGAGCTCTGTCCCTAGCCTTTATGTGACTTTGGGCACCTCACTCTTCAACCTCCAGTTTCACATCTCTAAAATAGGGACAATAATATCTACCTCAGAGGGCTGTGGTGAGGACCAACTAGATCACAAGCGAAAGTGTCCAGTGGTTTACTATTATTACACTTACTGGCTTGGGCAATGCACTTTTCTGAACCTTAGTTTCTACATCGGTAAAAATGGAATACGTGAGAGTACATGGCTCACAGCGGATGTTCAATAAAAGTTTGTTTTTATTTTTAACTTTTAAAAAAATTTTGAAACAGTTTTAGACTTAAAGTTGAAAAAACACTAGCAAGCTTCCCTTATACTTTATAACTAAGCTTCCCTAATGTTAACATCATACGTAATCACAGTACAATGGTCAAAACCCAGGAAATTAACATTGGCACAATGCTATTAACTAAACTGCAGACCTTATTCCTTTGTCCTTTTCTGTTCCAAGTTCCAAATCAGGATCCTGTACTCCATTTAGTTGTTGTATTCCTTAATTTTCTTCAAATTGTGACAGTTCTCAGTCTTTGTCTTTCATGACCTTGACATTCTTGGTGAGTACTGGTCAATTACTTGGAAAAAATATTTCTCAACTTTGGTTCGCTTGATGTTTTCTTATGATTAGATTGAGGCTGTGAACTTTACGCAGAAATACCACAGCAATGATCTATTTTTTGTTTTGTTTTTTCCTTTATTGCAATAAATACACATAACATGAAAACTTACCATTTAGACCAGTGGTTCTCAACCTTCCTAATGCCGTGACCCTTTAATACAGTTCCTCATGTTGTGGTGAGCCCCAACCATAAAATTATTTTCGTTCCTACTTCATAACTGTAATTTTGCTACTGTTATTGAGTCGTAATGTAAATATCTGATATGCAGGATATATTTTCATTGTTACAAATTGAACATAATTAAAGCATAGTGATTAATCACAAAAACAATATGTAATTATATATGTGTTTTCCAATGGTCT